CTACTTCGTGGAGGTCATTTCTATACCATGCCTCTCCTGGTACATTCAGACCGTTTCTAAGCCCCTCCTCTTAACTAAGAAATAACATTAGGATTGAAATATAACGCAATAAATACATAAAATGTAAAAAATAAAATTTCAACTAACTGGAGAACCTGGATGAATACAGATTGATGCTCCCAACCTCGGTCAGAGAAGTTTCCTTCTGCATAAACAGCAGTCAATTCTGGGACTCATAGCTGGTCCAGATGCTGAAAATAAGTAACTGTGAGTGTTCATCTCTCAAGTAGACATCTACATCAACCCTCCCAAGACTCAGAGAACACTGCAGAAGGAGAGGTGGAAAGAAAGAACGTAAGAACCAGATCAGGAGGGATTTTATGAAATGCTGGATAAGATGTAGTCATTGTACTCATGAACTCAGAGCATCTATAGTTAGTTACCTGTACAAGATCAAAGCATTCACAAAAGTCATCATGGATGAGGGAGGAGCTCATAGCTTAGGAGCTATTGCCAACTGGTGACTGCTGAGGAAGCAGGAATCATTTTTCTTCAGTGTGGTCACTGTCTGACCATGCCCTTACAGTGAGTTATTAAAAAAATGTAAAAGTGGGAAAGACACATATTGAGGGTTTGGGGTGGGATACGTGTTGAGGGGCAGGACACATTTTGTGGAGCTCTACAGGGAAGGAGAGTTTGGAAAAGATATGGTCACACACATATATGAATTTGTCAAAGAAAAAAATAAAAATAAAAATCTGAGGAGCCAGGCATAATGGCACAAGCCTTTGATCCCAGCACTCGGGAGACAGAAGCAGAGGCAGGTGGATCTCTGTGAGTTTAAGGCCAGCCCAGTCTACATAGTGAGTTCCAGGACAGCCAGGGCTATGCCTCAAAACAAACAAACAAATCCAAGGGGCTAAACAGACGGTTCAGCAGTTAAGAGCACCAGGGGACTAGGGTGGAGAAAAACATCTCCCTGGAAAGGGAATAGAATACACAGTTATCAATGGATTTGGGGAGGAAGTGCTGGAACAGTACGATCAATTGGGGAAATGGAGGGAAGAGAGGGGTAAGGAAGGGAATATGGAAGCTAAAACTAATGGCCATTTGAGGGGTCTTATGGAAACCTAATATAGTAGGTTCATAAATATATGAAAGACAACTACATTGTAATCACCAAATAATGAGGGAGCCAAAGCTCCCACTAGACATCTCTATCAAATGAAACCTCCAGTGCTGGGAATAGGTTACATCTAGTCAAGTTGTTAGCCAAAGGGCCCTCATAGAAACCCCCAACCAAACCAGGCTATTGCCAAGGCTTTTGGCTGTTCTCCACAAACTGATGGTAAGGCCCCATTGCTGAAGGCATCTATATAACTCACTGAACACAGGGAAACCCAGCCTTCACCCATACTGACCAGTGCTCATGGTACTGAAAGGTACTCTGCACGCTGAGGAGAGATACAAACATCAACCCAGCTACAAACACTTTGCTCTTCAATGGTATCCTGAACGCAAGATATGCAAGTGCAATGGCGGCACAAAGCCTGTAGCAGCAACCAGCCAGTATCTGACTGGAATTAAAGCCCACTCTAAGGCTGGAGAGATGGCTCAGAGGTTAAGAGCACTGACTGCTCCTCCAGAGGTCCTGAGTTCAATTCCCAGCAACCATATGGTGGCTCACAACCATCCATTATGAGACCTGGTGCCCTCTTCTGGTGTGCAGATATACATGGAAGTAGAATGTCGTATAATAAATAAATAAAATAAAAAAAGCCCATTCTATGAGATGGAACCCATACTCAACACTGCCTGTGTGGCCAAGAACCCAAGTAGATAAGCCACGGACCTAGGGGAAAACTAAATGCTACCAAAGGGATACAAGCTCCCTTCCCTAATTCAGAAGCTATATATAATTAACCACTGGCAAAGGAAAAACTAGCTTTCTTTTATTTTTTTTTTCCAACGGAGTCTCACTGGGTACACAAATTTAAGTCCAGGTCCCAGGCCCAGCAGTAGATGGACAACACAACATGAACTCAAGAGAACATTGGTTTTTTTTCTGTTTCATACTTTGGGCATTTTTTTTTTTTTGGAATCTTACAGGTTTTTTTTTGCTTATATATTATAATTTCCTATTTATGAGCTTTCCATGTGTGCAAATTCATGTCTCTCAGCATATGTATGTGTGTGCTTTTCTTTGGTTCTTTTTTTTCTGTTTTTGTCTGTTCTGGCTATGATGATGATGATTCCTGTTTGTGTTCTAATGAGAGAGAAAGGAAGGGTATAGGTTTGGTGGGTGGGGAAGTGGGAAGGATCTGAAAGGAGGTCAGAAGGGTTCTGCAATCCAAATATATTATATGAAAAAAATATTCAAGAAAGAGAGATAGCCAAGCAGTGGTGGTCACGCCTTTAATTCCAGCACTCGGGAGGCAGAGGCAGGTGGATCTGTGAGTTTGAGGCCAACCTGGTCTACAGAATGAGTTCCAGGACAGCCAAGGCTACACAGGGAAACCTGTCTCAAAAAAAGCAAAGCAAAAAGGAAGAAAGGAAGGAAGGAAGAGGGAAGGAAGGAAGGAAGGAAGGAAGGAAGGAAGGAAGGAAGGAAGGGAAACGAGAAAAACAGAGAAAGAGTGCAAGTGCTCTTCCAGAGGACCCAAGTTCAATTCTCAGCATCCACATGGTAACTCACAACTATCTGTAACACCAGGCCCAGGAGGTCCTATGCCCTTTTTGGTCTCCACGGACAGTGCATGTACATAGTGACAGGCATACATGCAGACAAAACACCCAAACAAAAACAATTAAATTAAAAAAGGGGACTGGAGTGATGGTTCATTACTTACAAGCACTGGTTGTTATTGTAGAGGATCTGAATTCAATTCCCAGCACCACGTGGGAGCTCACAACATAAAATAAATAAATCTTTAAAGAATAATAAAATAAAAACAAAGAAAATTTTAAAAATCAGAAAGAAATCTGAGGTGGAGACAGAGTCCACGTTTTGAACAAGTCACTGGCCAATAGCCACTACAAGCCTTAGGCCACATGAGGAAGAGCAAGGCTGGAGCACACTAGCCGCCCCCCCACTCTCAGAGCCAGCTAGGGCCCTTCACTACCAATCACCTTCTCTCATGCTTCCCTGATAAAAGGACCCCAGAACTTCGCAGGTTGGAGGGCCAGAACCTGGCAAACATACTTATTATCATAAGAAACAAACTTCCGTTGGGCATAGTAGTGCACACCTTTAATCCCTGCACTTAGGCAGAGGCACAAAGATTCTCTGTGAGTTCGGGGCCAGCCTGGCCTACATAGTGAGTTCCAGGAGAGCTACATAGTTCCGGGAGAGCTGTTTGAGATCCTATCTCAAAGAGAGATTTCTTTGAATCTACTATAGAAGAGAACCCTTTGTGCGAGAGCAGTCACAGAAGGGCAGGCACCATATACAGAAAGTTCTCCAAGCACCAGACAGGGTCAGGCAGGAAGCAGATGTATCCATCTGGGATGGAGGTAGGGCAGTGTCCCACCGGGCCCTATGTCACAGCCCAGGACAGCTATCAGCTGTATGTGGGATGCACATGGTGACACCCAGTAACTGAGTCCAAACCACCACTTTGAGCTGAGTCTTAGCTACCTATTAGGAACCTCCTGAGATTAGAGCCCCGGGCAATGTTGAGACCTAGGCCTCCTACCCTGAGGATAGTGAAGCATCTGGAAGACCAGTGCCAGAACAAGTGGTTATCCCTTGGGCACATGGGCCTGGCTCAGGCTTAGGGAACAGCAGCTCCTGGCCCAGACAAGCCCATCCTATAGAAGCATGTGGGCCGTTCAGCAGCTGGGGAGGGTGCATGGTAAGCCATGTGGCTGCAGGCATCCATGTCAGAGGTAAGCAGAGTCAGCAGCTGTGTCTGCTTCCTCTCTACCTGAGGCTGTGAAGGTTCTGAGCACGGAAGGTGAGATCTAGACAGTCTACCTTGCCCACAGACAATCTCTATGAGAAGTGCTGGCAGGACCCACTGCACCAAGGCCATGGGGTGCAAAGACAAATCTAGTGTGGAGCTTTGGTGACCCTCGGAGAAGGCAAGTCCATACTCAAGCCCAGAACTCGACCCAGATCTAGTGCCAGTCAGGCTCAGGAGAGAACCCCGGGCTTAGAAAAAGTCCTGAGGCCTCCGACCTGTTTCCCTGCTCCAAAGTCCAGGACTGCACCCAGTGTCTGAAAGCTTCATCAGCAGAGAATTCCCATGGGTGACTAGAAATAGGCTCACTTCATCTGGTGAGCTACCAGTTCATGGGCCAGTGGGTCAGGCACCTGCCACATTTTGAATCTGCTCTTGGGCTGGAAACAGAGTAACAAGCAATCTGGACTCTTAGAACACAGCTCTGCTTCTTCCTGTTGTCTGGGCTCCAGCAAGAATGTTAACTCCAGCGAACAGTGGTGGTGCACAGCTTTAATCCCAGCACTCTGGAGCAGAGGCAGGTGGATCTTTGTGAGTTCCAGGCCAGCCTGGTATACAGAGTAAGTTTAATTTCCAGGTCACAAGACTCCAAAGCTACAGAGAAACTGTCTCAAAAACAAAAAGTTAACTTTGGGCCAGGCAGCAGCGGCACACACCTTTAATCCCAGCACCCCAGCACTCAGGAGGCAGAGCAGATGAATCTCTGAGTCTGAGGCCAGTCTGGACTACACAGGGAACCCTGTCTCAAAAAAAAAAAAAAAAAAAAATGCTGACTCTGAGGCCCTTCATGTTCAGTAAAAAGCAGGGTGTGATTCCCCCTACCCCCACCCCACCCCAAGGACTGGCCTAATCTCTGACTGCTTCTAGCTCAGACAGCCCAGGGTCAAAGGAAAGGTCTTAGGCTTCTTTCTCCAGACCAGGCAGGACAGCGAGGTATGCTCACCTACCCACCCATCCTGGAGACCAGACTAGGGACTCCACACAGCCACCCAGGCAGGCTCTGGGTTCAGGAGTGACAGAACCAAGGTTGAGCACAGACTCAGTACAGAAATGTTTAATGTTTGAATTGTACACTGGCTCTGTGACATATCCAGAAAGGCAACTTTTCATTTTTCAAAAATAGATTTGATAGAAAGACTTACATGTTCATAAATAGGTAATGTGAAAATTTCCCCAATGCACATGGAACCCTTGGGCTGGCAGTTCTGCCCGTCCAGGCCCTGCTGGGGTGCATTTGGCTAGCGGCCCACCACTGGCAGCAACCTGGGACAGGGCAACCAATTCAATGTGAACCAGGGGCTCCCTGTAGATTCCCCCCTAGTTGGGGCCTGTGTCCTTGGGGACAGACTTCCACTCAAAGGGACATGAGTTCCTTCTTGGTACCTTAGTGGGCAAGACCTTAGCCCTTCACTCTCCTGCTGCAGTCACCCTGGCCCTGCCCAGCCTTTCTGTGGGTACTTCCTTGCCCTCCCTAGCATACAGCCTCCACCTGTTCCTGCTGTTTAGTAACTTTTAAACAAGGGAAAAGATTAAACTCCTGTTGCCCCAGAGGCCCTGGGCTGCTGGCAGCCAGCCAAGCCTGCCCAGGGGGAAGGAAAGCAGCTGGTTTTGTTTCCTGACTTGCACGCTTGCCTGTTTTCTGGTCCTCAAGCCCGGTGCTCCTTCTGACAAAGGCCCAGACGTCTCTCTGTGCACTGCAGTGGGGCAGGTGCCTCAGCAGAGGACCAGAGCTCAGCACTACTGTCTGAAGGGACAGCAGCAGCTTCTCTGTAGGAGCCAGCTTCAGTCCAGGATTCAGTGCCCTCCCAGGCCACTGAGGGGTCAAGGGAAGAACTCATCCTTGCCAGGATACCGAAGATAAGGCCTGTGGCTGGGGAGGGGCCATCTCCCCTCAGAAATGTCCTCTGGGTCACTTGTGGGATTCTGTGCTGTCGATAAGAAGGCAGGTTGGCAGAGAGATTTGGAAGAGGAGGGTCACATTGGCCCCAGACATGTGAGTAGAGAGGTGGGCAGGCTGTGGAGGCCACGGTCATTCACACTGGGTGAGAGCCCTGGGCCTGGCCTTCCAGACCTGCACCTGGCAGTGGACCTGGAACCCAGAGAGTGAGAGCACAGAGTGGATACCAGGGCAGGGGGGGTAGTGCAGGGCTCGAGGAGACTTTGGTGTCTGGGCTAAACTCTTAGAGCAGGGCTGCTCCTGCTAAAGGGCACAGGGCAGGGCCTCAGCACCTCGAGATTGTGAAAGGGAAGTGAGGTGATCTTCCTGTGAATGGAAAAAGAAATCATCTTCCTGGTTGCTGGGTCAGCCATGAGGCCACCAGCGAAGAAGGCTCCCTGGACCAATTAGGGCTTATTCAGTTCTATCCATTCCAGGTTAGACCTTATGGCAGTGGTTCTCCATCTTCCTGATGCTATGGCTACTTGCAGCTCCTGCCCAGTACAGCCACAGTGATCCCCACCAGAGAAGCACTAAGAGCAGGCTCTGGTTCACTTAGGAAACCTTCCACCCCACAAGAACCAGGCTCAGCTAATCCACAGGCTGCTGCCTACCTTAAGGGGGTCAGTGGGTCTAGCCCTGTTTATTTAGTTCACCACAGTTCTGTCTCCCAAGGCTGCTATAGAGTTGTTGCAAAGCCCTGCTCCTGGCCCTGTGGCCAGATATACCTAGGAAAAGGGGCTGACAGACCAGAATGTTTGAAATGCAAGGCAAGGGTGGGATGCCAGCAGGAAGGGAGATGCAGGGAACAAACCCTGATCAGTGATTAGATTGGACTGAGCCTGACCCAGTGGCTGGGGCCCCATGGCTGCTGTGGCCTTCCTTGTGGGTCTAAAAGCAGTTTACTGTGTGGATGTATGAGGTGGTAGAAGGGCACAGAAAGGACAAAACTATCTCAGGAACATCCCCTGGCTCAATCCCTGAACCTAATTGCTTTGATCCCTGAGCCCACCAAAGCACAGACCTGCCTCCTAAGAACCCCACTTTTCCTTCTGACCCCAGCAGGAAGTACATGTTAAGAGAGGCAAGGGACCAGTGAGTACAAGATGGCCAGGACTCAGGCCACCAAGTACTTGTCTGTTTTGCTTTGAAACTATAAGCTAGGCTGGGACTGTGGGGAACTGGAAGCTCTGAACTGTGGCAGGGAAGGTTCCTCCACATGGCGAAAGGCTGGCATCCACAGGGCCCTCCACTTCTGGGACACGGCAGAAAGAAGCTGTTTTGTTGTCATTTGTAGTTCTGAGGACTGAACCCAGGGCCTTGTGTGAGCTCAGCCTTGTGCTCCACCCCCCCCCCCCCAAACACACACACACAGCGTCACAAGCTGCTTCCTTCTCCTTAAATGTTCACTTTCCTATCTCAACCCTCCACCACACCGAAAGATTAGCTGCTTTGGCAACCTGACTGGCAAAATGTTGGGCCTCAAGCCAGCAGACAGTCCCCAGCTGGCCTCTGGCCATGACCCTACACTTGTGTCAGTGAAAATGAGATGCTACATGAAAAAGCAGAAAAACTCAAGAGGTCTTGGTAAGGCAGCGAGCAAGCCAGGTCCAGGGAGCCGTATAAGAGCTCCAAGCTGGCAGTGAGGGGAGGGCACTGCCTCCTCCTGATGAGCTCAGGCTTCCCAGGGACAAGGCTCGGCACCAGTCCGCTGGCCTAATGTGCTTTTTACACTGTGGTTGGAGGCCAGAGAATGACCTGGAGGAACCTGGGGTACATCCCTGGAGAGCAGCAGTCAAGGCAGGAGAAGGTAAGACCAGCACGTGGGGGCTGGGCAGCACGGCCGGGCCCTTTCCCACCGTAGTCTATGCTGGAAGGCTCAGGCTAGTCCTGGAATGTGAAGAACACGGAGGGAGCAGATGCTGGCTGGCAGGATGGTCCACAACCTGCCCTGGCCAATGGCCTTCTGCACAGGACAACCCTGCTTCTTCTTCTCCCTTTCTACCCAGCATCCAGGCCAGGGGTGCAGAATCCCTCTAGAGAAGCCAGTGCCCTGGAGGGCTAGCTCTGAATGGTGGGGCTTGACAGGCTGCAGACAAAGGAGGTGGGAAGGCTTGGTCTGCCTCTCCTGTCCCCACCCCCCAGTCAGCACCCACAGCCCCAGCTCTCAGTAACGTCCTTGCTGTCCAGCTGGATGTGGTCGGTGCTCTTCTCACTGAACAGGGGGCCTCCGTGCCTCATGATGAGTTCAGTGGCCACTCTGGTGAAGGCCTCCTCCACATTGCTGGAGTCCTTGGCAGAGGTCTCGATGGCACAGAGGATGTCATAGTGCTCAGCCAGGCTCTGTGCCTCAGTCAGAGGGACCTCCCGGAAATCGGCAAGGTCTGACTTGTTCCCTGTCGAGAAAGGCCAGGTAGAGCATGATAAGAACCACAGGTGCCAGACCAGCACAGTTCTAGCCAGCAGAGTCACACCAAGAGTCCCAGAGCATGTCCCCTCCACCAGCTCCAGGTACACTGCTGGGTGTGGTGACGGGCCCCCGTCTTAAAAATAGTCTTTTGGGGGCTGGAGAGATGGCTCAGAGGTTGAGAGCACTGGCTGCTCTTCCAGAGGTCCCAAGTTCAGTTCCCAGCAACCACATGGTGGCTCACAACCATCTATAATGAGATCTGGTGCCCTCTTCTAGTGTGCAGATATGCATGGAGGCAGAATGTTGTATACATAATAAATAAATAAAATCTTTTAAAAACATAGTCTTTTGTTGGTTGTGGTGTTTTTTGTTTTGTTTTTCAAGACAAGGTTTCTCTGTGTAAGCCTGGCTGTCCTGGAACTGGTTCTATAGACCAGGCTGGCCTTGAACTCACAGAGATCTGCCTGCCTCTGCCTCCTGAGTGCTGTGATTAAAGGTGTATACCACCACCACCTAACTTAAAATAGTCCTTTTTGTTTTCACCTTTTAAAAATGTTATGTGTTTTGCCTGCATGTACATCTGTGAACCATGTGTACACCTGGCAGCCACAAAGAGCAGAAGATAACATATTCCCTGAAATTACAGATAGTTGTGAGCCAAAATGTAAGTGTTGGGAAAACTCAGGTCACTGGGAAGTGCTCAAAACCACTGAGCCATCTCTCCAGCCCCTATCTTTTTTTTCTTACTGATTAGCTACGGCTGGACTAGAATTCAGTATGTAGACCAGCCTGGCCATGAACTCAGCGATCTGTTTGCTTCTGCCTCCTGAATGCTGGGAATGAAGGCAAACACCATCATACCCAGCATATTTTTAACAATTTTTAAAAACAGTTCTAGCCAGGCAGCAGTGCCACAAGAGACAATCGATCTCTGAGTTCAAGATCAGCGGTCTACCGAGTGAGTTCCAGGACACCCAGGGTCATACAGAGAAACCTTGTCTCAAAAATCCAAAGAATAAAAAAATAAAAATAAAGAGTTCTCACCTAGGTTGCCCAGGCTAGACTGGAAACTGTTGGCTAAAGCAATCCTCCTGCCCCTCAGCCTCTTGAGAACTGGAACAAGTGTAGCCACCAAGTCAGGCTACCTTTTTTATTTTAAAGCTCTTTTTCGTGTTTGATTTTTTTTTTTTTCAAGACCAGGTTTCTCTGTGTAGCCCTAGCTGTCCTGGAACTAGCTCTGTAGAACAGGCTGACCTCAAACTCAGAGGTCCACCTGCCTCTGCCTTCCAAGAGCTGCGATTAATAGTTTAAAGCTCTTGTTCTTGGCTGGCTCAGTGGGTTCAGATGCTTGCTGTTAAACTAGGTAACGTGAGTTCAATCTCCAGTACCTACATGGCAGAAGGAGAAAACAGACTCGGAAAGCGGTCCTTTGGCTTATGCACATGTGGTCTGGCATGTGTGTACCCATATACATACACTAGATAGATAGATAGATAGATAGATAGATAGATAGATAGACAGACAGACAGACAGACAGACAGACAGACAGATTTATAAAATTTTCTCAGCCAGCAAGACAGCTCAGCAGGTAAAGACACTTGTTGCCAAGTCCAGTGATCTGAGTTCAGTTCCCAGAACCCACTAGTAAAAGAGGAGAACTGACTCTAGCAAATTTGTCATCTGATCTCTACACATGCCCTGCACACATGCACACATGCTCACAGACACACTAAGTAAATGTAATTTTAAAAGGCAAAAGAGAAGTTCATACTCTATGGCCTCTCATCTTGTTTTCTTCTTATTATCTTTTTTCCTCTGCAGTGCTGGGGATGAAACCTATAGCCTTGTGCATACTAGCTACATGCTTAACCAGTGAGCAGCAAACCTGCCTCATTACTTCCTCTGAGCGGGAGAAGCAGTGCTGTTTGCAGAAAACGCCATGCCTTAGAGCTAGAGCGGTTGGCCCAGAGCACACAGGGACTGCAAAGCAAACCCCCTTGCTTTCTAATCTCAATTTTAAGTCCAACTTTTAAACTGGACTGCAAGCTCCTGGTTCAACTCTGGTTCCTTTCCTGGCCAAGCTCAGCCCCTCCCAAGGCAGGCTTGCCTTGTGCTGGAAAAGAAGAAAAAGGCAAAGGCAGATCTAAGACTCACCCCCAGGCCCCTCCAGCCACCATCCCTAGCTCACCAATCAGCAGCTGTACAATGTTGGAGCCCGCATACTTCCTCACGTCCTCAATCCAGTGAGGCACTGACAGGAAGGTGCTCCTCTTGGTGATGTCGTATGCAAGGATGGCCCCATTGGCACTACGGTAGTAGCTCTGGGTGATGGTCCGGAACCTCTCCTGGCCAGCCGTGTCCCAAATCTGTAGCTGAAGAAAGGAGTCAACCCAGTGACACATGTCAAAGGGACAGGAAGGGCAGCCCCATAGACCCATGCCCAGAACAGTGAGTCCACTGGCCTAACGGTGGCTCACAGCAACAGTCCTCTACAAGCCTTAGAAAGCAACTCTGGCCAGGCAGTGCTGGCACACACCTTAGTCCCAGCATTCAGGAGGCAGACAGTTCTAGGACAGGCTCCAAAAATACACAGAGAACCCTGTCTCAAAAAATAAAAAAATTTTAAAAAAAAGCAATTCATGGCTGGGGAGGTGGTTCAGAGCGATTGCTGTGCAATCCAAGGGACCAGAGTTTGGATCCCAGCACGCACATAACAAACCAGGTATCCTGTGTACACTGGTAACCTCAGCTCTAAGTGAGCAGAGGCAGGATCACTGATCACTGAAGCCTGCTGGCCATTAGCCTAGCCAAAAACACTTAAGCTCCAGGTTCAGGGAGAGACCCTGTCACGAAAGGAGTAGATGGCAAGTAATAGTAGGACATCCAATTCTCCTGGCCTCTGAATGCACGCACGCACGCACACACACACACACACACACACACACACACACACACACACACAAAGAAAAAAAGCAACTCAGGGATCCAGTATGAGGAAGAAAAGAGAAGGGGATGGGGAGCAGTTTGTCTCACAACTGTAGGGTCCCTCAAGACAAGGGCAATTATGAACTGAGTCTGCCATGGACTGGCTCTCCCCTTATCCCTGGCTTACAGCGGCTGACCACCGGATTTGCAGGTAAAGGAACTGGCTCCGGGGTGCACTCAGGTCAGGCTGGTTACACATTCGGGTCTTCCCTGCTGCAAGCTCACTGGGTCCAAGCTGTACAGTACTGGGTCTCCTAATGTTCTACATTTGGTGGTGAGGAGGTTGGACTGGGGCTATGTTCCTGCTTTTCTACCTTGGCCAAAGCATGGAGCATATGGTCTTTCTCCACCATTTATTCCTTCATTTAACAAACACCAGTGCTCTATGGTAGGCACTCTGCTTGGCATGGCCAGTAGAGGTGGTGTACATGTGACAATCCTTGCCAGGGATAAACAAAGAACAAATGGCCAAGAAATCTCTATATTTGATAAAAGATACTGATTTTAGAATCCAAGGAAATCAACAAATCCCAAACAGGAGGAACATAAACTGTAGTAGATCGCAGCAAAACTGCCAAAAAAAAAAGTAATTAATTAAATCTAGGCTTCCTGAGTTACTAGATGATAGTAGCAAGGCTTTTGTCCTAGATGATCACTTCCTTTTCCATTCTAATGAACACTTAGTCATCACCTCCAAAGCGTAGCCCATCTACTCCCTCACCCCAATTTCTTTGTCTTTCTTTTTGGACAGTAAGTTGGTTTGAGAGTTATGAACGCTGAAAGCTTTTTCCACTGCACAGAATACACAAATCAGCCAAAACTGCCAAGAATACCATGCTGACACCAGTCCCTAGCACGCTGACACCAGTCCCTACCATCCCTCACACGGCCCAGTAGGGCTTGGTTCTTCACTCTCTCTCTCTCCTGGCACACCTGCTTCTCAATCCTTCCCAGCAAGCCTTCTCAGCCTGCATTAGATATTTAGGAGAAATTCTCCAGGCTACTGATATCTAGAGTTGTGTCCATGAGCAACTGTGGGGCTCAGAGAACTTTGGAGTCCCAGTAAAGACAAAAATGGGCTTCCAGAGCATACATGCACCAAAAAAAACACATTGCCCCTCCTCTGCCACCAAGCAAGGTTGGGCAGGGAAATTCAGTCCCTGTAACAGGAAGTCTTTGACCCTGTAGTAGGAAGACTGAGAATCACCATTCTCAGTGGGGATAGGGCTCTTGTTCTCTTTTAAGCTCCACACTTAATGACTCCTAGCCTGTGCTGGTCCACAAGCCTCCAGAAGACATGGTGAAGCAGTATCGTCTGCATCACCAGGCCTTTTTCAGGACAGGCAGCACTACCTTTCAGCAGATAGACTCTCCTACCCATCCTTTATCACTTTAGGGTAGCTCTTCCTGATATGAATGCTCCATTCCTAAGCAGAAGTAACTCTTACTGCCTTCACGTTCCTGCCTCTCAAACAGCTCACACCATAGACAGCATTGTTAATTTTACTCAGGTATCCTACATCAAGATGACTTACGGAGCTAGGCAGGGAGCACGAGACACAGCAACATACACACACATACATACCACACACACAGACACACCACACACACACATACACATAATATACACACTCACCATACACAGACACATACACACACACACCAGAAGCAGAGGGCTCCAAGCTGCTTTCCAGGGATTCATGATTTACAGTCCCCTGGAGTAAGTCACAATGAATACAGTAAACCACCCCTGTTTTTTTTTTAGGCTAAAATCATCTCTGGAAGTTCAGTTCTGAGACCTGTTCCTTGTCCTGTCCTGTCCCTCCCAAAGGAGTCTGTCCTGAGTAAGCAGACAATGGAAAGTTCCAGGCTTCTTAGCATTAGATGAGAACCTTGGAAAAGTCAGTTCTCAGGGCAAAAACTGAGATGGTCAGAATGACCCAAATACAAGTTCCTGAGCTATTTTTTATGATGTCTTGGGACATGAGTCAAACCAGGAGGTAGGGTTTGAGGCTCCTCCTCCAACCAGCCTCCTCTGCTGTGTTGTCCTCTAGGGAAGAGCTTAGCCAGGGTTCTGCAATGCTTTAGATCCACCGTGTGTTATACCAAGTAGTGAAAGGAGCAGTCACTCCAAGGGAAGTGCAGCAGGTGGGCAAGTTCACTCTGTTGTCTGTGGCCCTTCTGCTCTCTGGGTAAGAACTGTGAGTAGCTGATGAAAGTCCTTCCAGTGGGCCGGATGGTGGTGGCACACCCCTTTAATCCCAGCACTCGGGAGGCAGAGGCAGGCGGATCTCTGTGAGTTCGAGGCCATCCTGATCTCCAGAGCTAGTGCCAGGATAGGCTCCAAAGCTACACAGAGAAACCCTGTCTCAAAAAAAAAAAAAAATTGAAAGTCCTTCCAGTGCTGAGGGTCTCCCCCAACCCTCTCCCATGCCCCTGGGCTGGAATGGCAGCCTCACAGCTCAAGCTGTTGCTCTGGGCTTTAGTAGACATGGTTCATGTCTCCAGGTCCTGAAGTTAGAGGCTCACTGCTCTGAGTTTTAATCACCAGGAGCCACGAGGCAGCTACTGTAATCTTCAGTCTCCTACAGCTTGCATTACACTCCTGAATGAACCACACTATCAGGAGCCTTAGTGTCTACAGTGGTTGGTGTCTCAGTTCTCAGGCCAAATGTCTAGGACCCCTAGACCTTAAGACTTGGAAGCTCAAGGCTGGAAAGATAGCCCAGGTTAATAGCACTGGCTGCTCTTCCAGAGGTCTTGAGTTCAATTCCCAGCAACCACATGGTGGCTCACAACCATCTATAATGAGATCTGGTGCCCCCTTCTGGTGTGTAGACAGAACACTTAAATAAATAAATAAATAAATAAATAAATAAATAAATAAAAGAAAAAGACTTGGTAGCTCCTTGAAACTAACTCTTCAAGCAACTGGAGTGATCAGTTTCTCATCTGTGGTCTTCAAAGTCTTCTATCTTTCTTCACCTTTGGCTTTCTGACCCTTTGTCTGCCATCTCTATTCTCAGGTTTCTATCCTGGTCATTCCCAGGGACTCTACAGCTACCCTCTTATGACCACTGCTGGGCTGCTGTCACTGCTGCCACAGCCTCTGGTTCTGCTCTCACATCTTTTAGCCCACTTTACTAATAATAATGATCACAGGTAGGGAAGCAAAGACACTTCAGGAGAAGCCTTTCATTTGACCTAATGTCACAACCCCAGGGCTCAGTAATGCAGCTGAGTGTAATGAACTGACTGCCTTTTGTTTGCTTGTTTGTTTTTCGAGACAGGGTTTCTCTGTGGCTTTGGAGGCTGTCCTGGAACAGCTCTTGTAGACCAGGCTGGTCTCGAACTCACAGAGATCCACCTGCCTCTGCCTCCCAAGAGCTGGGATTAAAGGCGTGCGCCACCAACGCCTGGCCTGACTGCCTTCTTAAATAGCCAGGAAGGGTACTGCAACATCATAGTATGGTCCTTCAAACAAACCAAGGACTATATTTGCCTCTATCACAGGTCTCCTGTTGAGCTACCAGAGGAGTGTCCCTTCTGTCCTGGATGAAATGGCTGCTAGAGTTCACCAAGCTTGTGATGGTGAAAGTGTATGTAGTCCAAGCAGTAGGAAGCAGTCGAGATGGGGCGGTGTCTTTGGAGTTGGAGGTCTGCTTGGGCAGCCAGCAGCTGTGGCTGCTGTTTAGCTTCCTCAAGGAATCCATGCAGTGTCCAAATAAGCATGGGAGCCATGAGGCCAGTCAGAGCCAAGTACTTGGCTAGTAATCCTCTGTTCAAGGTAGAAAGGGTACCAGGGAAAGCTTTAATAGCTGTCAAATCATGTTAGTCACCAAATGTTAACTAATTTAAAGGAAAAATAAGCGTTATAAAAGGGTGTTTATAATAAAGGCCTATGGTCACCACTGATAGTACGTTAACTGTATTTAGCAGTGTTTAACTCTAACCCAGTGCCCAGAGGCAAGTCTTGATCTGATAGAGAACAAGTGAGGGCAGGAAAACACAGTGACTTGAGGACATCAACTGCAGACAAAGAGGAATTGAAAGGAGTCAGGATCAGAGGGATAGTGACAGGGATAGTGACAGCCTCTGGACCCAGAATTCCTCCCACTCCCTCAAGGTGAGCATCAGAAAGCACTGTATTCCCTTGCTGTAATGTAGCTCCTTCCTGAATGGGAGTTCTATGGCAATGCAAAGTAACATCTGCCCACGTGACAGGACAGCCATGCCAGCTTTCTGCAGGGTTGTTCATCACACTCTGTAAGAGAACAGGTCCATGATGCCTTGAATCCAGACAGGCAGAACACAACAGGGTGCCCAGAGCTGTCAGTATTTCCTATCTGTCACTTTCCAAGATCAATCTTTCTGAGATAGGATCTCA